TCCTGTTGGTTCCAGACTTGGTGCATCGGTACTGCTTGCTGTCTGGTAGCAGAGAGAACAGTCTATGACTTGGGTGTCTGGAGTCTTTGACAATTTTTAGGGACTTCCTCTGACACCGCCTGGTATAGAGGTCCTGGATGGCACTACCCTCTCTAGCACCTTGCGATGATGGAGCCAGTCAAGATGCTCTCAATGGTGCAGCTGTATAACTTTTTGAGGATTTGAGGGCCCATTCTGAATCTTTTCAGCGTCCTGAGGGGGAAGAGGCGTTGTTACGACTGTGTTGGTGTGTGTGGACCATGATACTTCCTTAGTGATGTGGACACCAAGGAACTTGAAGCTCTCGACCTGCTCCACTACAGCTCCGTCGATGTGGATGGGGGCGTGCTCCTGTAGTCCACGATCAGCTCCTTTGTCTTGCTAACGTTGAGGGAGAGGTTGTTGTCCTGGCACCACACGGCCAGGTCTCTGACCTCCTCACTGTAGACTGTCTCATCGTCATCGGTGATCAGGCATACCACCGTCGAGTCATCTGCAAACTTAATGATGGTGTTGGAGTTGTGCGTGGCCACACATTCTTGGGTGAACAGGGAGTACAGGAGTGGACTAAGCACGCACCCCTGAGGGGCCCCTTTGTTGAGGGTCAGCGTGGCAGATGTGTTGTTGCCTACCCTCACCACCTGGGTGCGGCCTGTCAGGAAGTCCGGGATACAGTTGCAGAGGGAGGTGGTTAATCCCGGTGTCCTTAGCTTAGTGATGAGCTTTGAGGGCACTATGGTGTTGAACGCTGAGCAATAGCCAATGAACAGCATTCTCACGAAGGTTTTCCTTTTGTCCAGGTGGGAAAGGGCAGTGTGGAGTGCAATAGAGATTGCGTCATCTGTGGATATGTTGGGGCGGTATGCGAATTGGAGTGGGTCCAGGGTGTCTGGGATGCAGTGGCGGTTGGTGCCGTTTAAGATGAGGGAGGATGAACATGGCCTTATTTCTATTACAGCATATTGGATGAGTCATTCACACTCCATTCACCCAGCTCAATGTAACATCGATAGGTTTAGGCTACTACATGATACTCACATTTTTCCTGTACCCATCATGAGGTTGCTACAACCTAGCCTAGGAATGTAAATTGACAACGTAGGTGCACAGGTCGAGAGAATTTTGAGTAATCAAGGTGACAGACAGTGACACATTCAATACTGCCTTGCACACTCTTGCCTGCATCTAGCTGATCTAGGGTGTAATCATTAGTCCAACAGTTGCAAACAAGAGTTTCTATTGGACAATTCAGGTATGTTTATCCCCACTTCGTTCCGTTTGAGAAACGTTTTCAACAGAATCGGTGCATTGAATACAACCCTGATCAAGCCCACACAGTTCACTTTCATAACAGCCACATACAAACAACTTGTTGTTTTTATAATTCCTTCTCACAGCTATCTACGCGCTCTCCTCCTCTCACCTTTTCCCTTCGCTTGTGGACTTGTGCACAACATATCAGCTGTCTGTGACCAGGTAAAATGTTTTTTCAAAGCTAAACCTTCATATCATTACCGCTACAACACATCGTGGTAATAGTCAACATACAGTGGGGAGAACAAGTATTTGATACACTGCCGATTTTGCAGGTTTTCCTACTTACAAAGCATGTAGAGGTCTGTAATTTTTATCATAGGTACACTTCAACTCTGAGAGATGGAATTTAAAAATAAAAAATAAAAAATCACATTGTATGATTTTTAAGTAATTAATTTGCATTTTATTGCATGACATAAGTATTTGATACATCAGAAAAGCAGAACTTAATATTTGGTACAGAAACCTTTGTTTGCAATTACAGAGATCATACGTTTCCTGTAGGTCTTGACCAGGTTTGCACACACTGCAGCAGTGATTTTGGCCCACTTCTCCATACAGACCTTCTCCAGAAACCTCCTTTCGGGGATGTCGCTGGGCAATACGGACTTTCAGCTCCCTCCAAAGATTTTCTATTGGGTTCAGGTCTGGAGACTGGCTAGGCCACTCAAGGACCTTGAGATGCTTCTTACGGAGCCACTCCTTAGTTGCCCTGGCTGTGTGTTTCGGGTCGTTGTCATGCTGGAAGACCCAGCCACGACCCATCTTCAATGCTCTTACTGAGGGAAGGAGGTTGTTGGCCAAGATCTCGCGATACATGGCCACATCCATCCTCCCCTCAATACGGTGCAGTCGTCCTGTCCCCTTTGCAGAAAAGCATCCCCAAAGAATGATGTTTCTACCTCCATGCTTCACGGTTGGGATGGTGTTCTTGGGGTTGTACTCATCCTTCTTCTTCCTCCAAACACGGCGAGTGGAGTTTAGACCAAAAAGCTCTATTTTTGTCTCATCAGACCACATGACCTTCTCCCATTCCTCCTCTGGATCATCCAGATGGTCATTGGCAAACTTCAGACGGGCCTGGACATGCGCTGGCTTGAGCAGGGGGACCTTGTGTGCGCTGCAGGATTTTAATCCATGGCGGCGTAGTGTGTTACTAATGGTTTTCTTTGAGACTGTGGTCCCAGCTCTCTTCAGGTCATTGACCAGGTCCTGCCGTGTAGTTCTGGGCTGATCCCTCACCTTCCTCATGATCATTGATGCCCCACGAGGTGAGATCTTGCATGGAGCCCCAGACCGAGGGTGATTGACCGTCATCTTGAACTTCTTCCATTTTCTAATAATTGCGCCAACAGTTGTTGCCTTCTCACCAAGCTGCTTGCCTATTGTCCTGTAGCCCATCCCAGCCTTGTGGAGGTCTACAATTTCATCCCTGATGTCCTTACACAGGTGTCTTTTATACAGGTAACGAGTTCAAACAGGTGCAGTTAATACAGGTAATGAGTGGAGAACAGGAGGGCTTCTTAAAGAAAAACTATCAGGTCTGCGAGAGCCGGAATTCTTACTGGTTGGTAGGTGATCAAATACTTATGTCATGCAATAAAATGCAAATTAATTATTTAAAAATCATACAATGTGATTTTCTGGATTTTTGTTTTAGATTATGTCTCTCACAGTTGAAGTGTACCTATGATAAATTACAGACCTCTACATGCTTTGTAAGTAGGAAAACCTGCAAAATCGGCAGTGTATCAAATACTTGTTCTCCCCACTGTAGCTACTAGAACTAACACGTTAGTAAATCTGCTACAATCATTTAGTACAGTGTACAGTCAGCAAATTAGCAGTTACACCAGCGGGCCCCTGTAGCAATACATTTATAAAACAAAAAGCTTACCATGACTTGGAATAGGAACTGTTGGAACTTGGAACTGTTGGATAGCCAAAGCCAACTTGCTAACATAGCATCCCTTTCTGTTTGACCCAGGTGTTTGAGTAGGCAATAGCTGCATTCGATGCTAGCTAAGTAAGAAAAAAAGAGAGGACAAGAGAGAGAGCGCGCGAGCGAGAGAGAGATGAGAGAGCGAGCAGCGAGAGGAGAGAGAGAGAGGAGGCGAGAGAGGCGCGTCGCTCGCGGAGCGCGCGAGCGCGAGAGTAGCAAGAGCGAGGAGCGGGAGACGCAGAGAGCGAGAGCGCGTAGCTAGAGCTCGCGATCTGTCTCTCTCTCTCTCTCTCTCTCTCTCTCTCTCTCTCTCACTCACTCACTCACTCTCTCTCTCTCTCAATGTGTAGTGGGTGTTGATATTGATTGTAATTTTGTCATCAAACCTCAGCAGAGGAAAACTGGATTATATTCTTGATAAAATGAAAACAGGGCAAAGGCACAGACCTAATTCCATGTAACACACAGCAAGAACTGTGCAGATATATATGTTCGCACATCCTACAGCTCATACATTTTCACTCTTTCTGTGGAGATGGAAAATGTACATGAAAATAAACATCATTTTAGTGGAAGCCACAGCAATAGGCTTGATGAGTCTCATTCTGTGGAAGAGGCAGATACAGATTGAGCTGACAGGACTCCTTCCTGTGTCCCTGCCAGAAGATGAGTCACTAGCAGTATTAATGTTCAGGGGGTGGCCATGCCTTTTAACTGGAACCAGGGGCGTGGATGGGACACATTATTGAATTAAGCAACGGCAGAAAAGTCATTTTAATCTTGGCCTGGACTACAATAATACATAGGTCTTACGAAGAGAATAGAATGGCTAGGTCTACTCACTACATTTTTTGCATTTACAATTTAGTAATTTAGCAGACGCTCTTATCAAGAGCGACTAACAGGAGCAATTAGGGTTAAGTGCATTGCTCAAGGGCACATCTACAGATTTTTTACCTAGTCAGCTCGGGGATTCAAACCAGCAACTGGCCCAATGCTCTTAACTGCAAGGCTACCTGCCGCTCTTGGCCAGTGTCCTGTGTGTGTGGCACTTGAATGGTTCATCCTGGACAGACAAAAGCCTGTATGATGACTTAAGACATCCTGAAGGGCTCACTACACCTTCTTCCATTGAACCCAGTATGACTGGCATGTGTACCCCCTCTTTAAAGGCCACCATCATTCTATTATTCTGTCTGCCTACTTCTCAGCCCACCCTCTCAATTCAACAATGATCAATAGCTATCCATTCCATTCCATTCCCTATGATACAATTTGATTGCCGTTAGCACAGTACCTTGGTAGTCACACTCATCTATTGTTCTGCCTCCATAGTGCCCTTCACACCACCCACACTCTCTCTCCATCTCACAATGGTCATATTTTCTTTGCAGTATTCATTCCAGTCATCTTTCCTGCTTTGATTAAAGGTGTCAAAGAGTATTCAATCCCACACTAAAAGCTGTGCTTTCCTGTGACAGGTGCCTATTCATCTAATAACCCTGGAAGGTGGATGGGTTTCCCAGGGGTTTAAAGTAGAGCTGATTTCACAGCACACTTTTACCATTTCAACCCATTGGAACTTAACGAGAAGCAAGCCTCAAATCAAAGCATCAAAGAGGTGTTAAAAGTTGACACTGCACCTCAAGTCACCTACCAGACCTAGAGAAAGGAGTGAAACTGAGAAATCTCCATGAAGCTCTTATCTCACCTGGCAGGCATTGTAGAGGAGCTGGTGCTCAAACTTCTTGATGCCCAGGATGGACTGGAACATCTCGTAGAGCTGGTCCTTACTGAGGATGAGCTCTGAGGCTGCACTGGCCGTCATCCGCTGCTGGTGCTTCCTGGGGTCCTCCTCTCCGCGGTAGATGGTGTCAAACTTGGCCATCCAGGAGCTGAGCACTGTCTCCTTACTTAGGCCGTCGATCTCCGGCAGGCTACGGACACGCTTCTCAATGTGCTTCTTGAAAACCTCCCGTGAGTCACTGGCCGAGCAGCCTCCACTCTGGACCATCCGGGACACACGGTCACTCTTCAGGAATATCTGTGGTCACGGTTGAGAGCAGAGAGGGGGGATTAAGCATGTGGTTTAAGCATTAAAAGGGCAGGAGTAACATACAGGAATAACATACAGTGTGGTTGTAAGGTTAGGATGAGTTCCATTTTAACTCAATTTCTAAATTGGAAATTGCCCATTATTTTCTGTAAGACGTTCTCCCCTGCATCTGCGTAAAGAAGCCCTTGTGGCAGCCTGACATGTCTTTGCTTCTGGAGGGAAGTGAAATGAAGACGCAGCTGCAGAAGAGGGTATCTGAAGTACTGTTTCTCTCTTTGAGGATTTGCTGCAGCTTGGTCCTTCTGTCTTCATGATGAAGATGCAGAGGAAAATAAATGATTGTAGTTTAAATTCAATCTGGTATTGTTGTGCTTATCTGTTCAATCCCAAGCTGCACATTTATTTTTCCACAATTCCCACAAAGCAATTTTCCATGCCAAGGGGTGTGGGTTAGAGAAAAAGAAAGACAGAGAGAGAGGGACCCATATGTCTGGCTGACTCAGATGTTGGCCCTCTCAATACCATGCAGCCTCCTTATGGCTCACAGTGACAGGCTCCATGTTCCCAATCAGTGCCTAACGCAGGGTGAAGACTGAGGGCCATTGCCTCTGAGCCTGGATGGACACACAGATACACAGACATTTATCACCCTCTGTCTGGTATCAGCTTTGGGCACTTGCGACTTGTTCTGCAACAGCAGCAGTGCTCTCAGTGGGCCAAAAAGAAGGGAACATTGCACAAATGGGAGTGTTGAAGATAGAACTGCTGATATAGACAATATAACTGAAATGTTGGCTAGAAATTTAAAATGTTCATGTTGCTTAATCCTAAATTCTGCCAACAAAGAGCACCCCAGGTGTCCCTCCAGGCTCTAGAGCAGGTGGGGATGTGGGGAGTGTGTAACCATCCAGAACAAAGTCAGTAAGAGCATTGGGCTTTAATTGAATTGGAAAACCGGCTTTAGCTGGGCGTTGAGTAATGAAGCATTTCAATTCACTAATTTGGGCTTATTGAAGTGCTATATTGAAGTGCGCACTCACTTTTCTCATCTCCTTTCCTCTAACTTTTTGGAAGCTTTGAGATACAGTGTTCCGAACCTCGTTCTTCTGTGATTTCAGAGTTGTCAAGGCAGACACATTGAATGGGATGGATAGTCATACTCAAAGCTACTTTTTTGGAGCACAGGATGTCGATGGATTCAGCTTAGCACCTCACATAGCCTCTGTCTGGACTATTAATATTTTACAGGCCTATTTTGGGAAGTCCAATTCATTTGAATCTGTCAGATGCAGGAGGAAAACATTAATAAGACTGCCTGAGGGAAGCAGCCTGTCTGTGTGTTCCACATCATTTACCAGACCAAAGGTGAGTCATCCAGACGATTTGGTTAGTCTGCAGAGGACTATTTAAAACTGCAGAATAATCATTGGTGAATACAAATCAACAGATAACACAACCCAAACACAAACTTACTCCTGCAGAGACCCACAAACACACACACGCGTGCACTCGCACACAAACACACACACACACACACACACACACACACACACACACACACACACACACACACACAGAGAGTAGGGCCTCACATCATAGTAGCTCTGGACTGCATTGATGAAGGCCTCGTCTGCCACTATCTGGGTGTCACCACTGAGGAAGGCCTGGAAACGCTCCTTCACTGTCTGTAGCTGCTGCTTACTGATCTGAGAGAGGAGACAGACAGACAGACAGACAGAGACAGACAATATAGAGGGAAACACAACAGAGTAGTAGGAATCATTTTAACATTAAGTTAGCTCATAGGTTTCATATTACTTTACTTCAAACATTCATTGTCACAGTCTCCTTATAAAATGAATAAGTTTATATCAATTTTGAATATACAGTAAATTAACTTTTAATTGTCTTTCTCCACTTAACACAACTCCTCTTTTTGGATCCTCTTTGCATGCATAGATCTTTCTTTTTCAGTGCTAAATTGAAACATGGCCTCCCGTTTAAAAACGTGTTTTCTTCTAACATCCTCAACACACAAATAATTTAACTGCCCTGTGCTACCCCAGTCCCAGCACTCATATCTCAGTCCTCCCACTACCAATTACACATTTCCTGCTTCCATTTCATGCCCTTTTTAACATCCGGGTCATTCCACCAATTCGGTGCCTTTTAAGATGTGCAACTTGGTGAGATATTTTTTTCGATTTTACCAAATTTTAACATTCTGTCATAAAGGGCACATGTGCAACTTAATAAAAAACAAGTTTTTCCATCCCAAGAGGTTACGTAACATAAAAAAAAACTATAGTAAGTGCCTATTAAGTGCCAAATAAAGTAACAGGGTTGACGATTTCATCTTAAATCAGCCAAACATCCCCTTGTGACAGTGGAAATGGAAGCCTTTTTTTTTTTTTTTTTTTTTTACATTTCTAGTCTGTCTAACAGGGTTGATGTGTTATGCTCGATCCGCTCAGTTTTCTACCACAAAACATCAGAATATTGCCAAAAAGAGTAGAACCAGCTCACCTGCTTTTACACTATTAGATGTTTCTTTTAAAAAAAATTGGGGAAGGAATAGTTTCACCACGTTAAAACGAGATTTCAGTTCACTTAACATGGTTGACCTTAAAATAAGGGACAGGTAGTTTTTTTAACCTTAAAAGGAATCACTAATAACATAAATCAGCGATTGAAAAAGTACCCAATTGTCATACTTGGGTAAAAGCAAAGATACCTTAATAGAAAATGACTGAAGTAAAAGTGAAAGTCACCCAGTAAAATACTACTTGAGTAAGAGTATAAAAGTATTTGCTTTTAAATATACTTAAGTATTGAAAGTAAGTGTAATTGTTAAAATATCCTTAAGTACCAAAAGTAAAAGTATAAATCATTTCAAATTCCTTATATTAGGCAAACCAGACGGCACCAATTGTTTTTTTCGGATAGCCAGAGGCACACTCCAACACATCATTTACAAACGAAGCATGTGTCTTTAGTGAGTCATTCAGATCAGAGGCAGTAAGGATGACCAGGGATGTTCTCTTGATAAGTGCGTGAATTGGACCATTTTCCTGTCCTGCTAAGCATTCAAAATGTAACGAGTATTTTTGGGTGTCAGGGAAAATGTATGGAGTAAAAAGTACATTATTTTCTTTAGGAATGTAGTAAAGTAAAAGCAAAAGTTGTCAAAAATATAAATAGTCAAGTAAAGTACAGATACCCCCCCCAAATACTTAAGTAGTACTTTCAAGTATTTTTTGTTAAGTACTTTACACCACTGCATTAAATAAATCATAATCTTCAGAAATGTATTTGTCAAAGCAACAAAATAACTAGGGCTTTACAATGATGGTAAAAACTTGGGAGACATTTTGGAGTTAAAATCTTCCTGCGTCATAGGATTTCAAAATGCAGAATGTTGCCACCTTCACAAGTCTTTATTCATTTAAAAAAATCTGATTTATTGAATTCTCCATGTGGTCTATATTGAAGGGCACTGCATTGAACAGGCTTTTAAAATGCAACATTGATGCACAATTTCTACTTGAAATATCAAATGGATGCAAAGGGTACTCATTTCGTGGAACGACCCATCCACATTTGTATTTGCAAACTTCACAGAGCTTTTAAGACAAAAAAATGCTACCTTAATTCTGGTTTACAGCCCTCGCCAACATTTAAAGAACTGGGGTCTCTCAACTGACAAAGATTTTTTGCATAATAATGTATTAGTGGTGCAATCGCTGTATGGCAAAACCCCATTATCACTGGCAGATAGATGCACTGTGTTACCCTTGCCACACGGCAACAGGACTAATATATAGGCTATAAATAAATGATTGGGTATTAAAGATGTTCAAATATAGATAGGAAATGAGTTTGGACTTACGTTGCCACAGTAATACTGCACGAGTCACTTGTGCAAATGTACACCTAGAGGCCAGTTTATTAGGTACACCACCCAGTTCACGAAAATGGTTCACTCCCACAGACAGACAGTGAGTCATGTGAACGTGGCTTGCTATATAAAGCAGGTAGACAGGCATAGAGGTATTCAGTTACTGTTAGATTGAACGTTAGAATGGGCAAAACGAGTGACTTAAGTGACTTTGAGCGTGGTATGATCGTCGGTGCCAGGCGGGCCTCCTGAGCTTTTGACGCACGACAGTGTCTAGGGTTTACCGAGAAGGGTGCGACAAACAAAAAACATCCAGTCAGCGGCAGTAAGTGGGCGAAAACAGCTCATTGATGAAAGGTCAAAGGAGAATGGCAAGAATCGTGCAAGCTAACAGGCAGGCCACAAACAGGCAAATAACGGTGAAGTACAACAGCGGTGTGCAGAATGGCATCTTGGAACGCACAACTCGACGTCCTTGTAACGGATGGGCTACTGAAGCAGACAAACACACCGGGTTCCACTCCTATTGGCTAAAAACAAGAAGAAGCGGCTACAGTGGGCACGTGATCACCAACACTGGACAATTGAGGAGTGGAAAAACATTGCCTGGTCCGACAAATCCCGGTTCCTGTTGCGCCATGCTGATGGCAGTCAGGATTTGGCGTAAGGAGCATGAGTCCATGGCCCCATCCTGCCTGGTGTCAACGATACAGGCCGGTGGTGGTGGTGTAACGGTGTGGGGAATGTTTTCCCGGCACACGTTAGGTCCTTCGATACCAATTGAGCAACGTTTCCATACCCCAAAGAATTCAGGCTGTTCTGGAGGCAAATGGGGGTCCGACCCGGTACTAGATGGGTGTACCTAATAAACTGTCTCCTCTCCCGCCCAAGCTAAACACACAGGCTGGTAGGAGCAGAGATAGACAAGAGAGCAGGTCTAACTGGGAGGATAGAGAAAGTGATGCAGCATAGATGAGGTGACACGAGACAGTACAGCCATAATGAAACTTTTATGGAGAGTGCAGAACAAGGTCCTATCTATGAATGTGATGTTGGCTGGGGATGATCACCCAAATGGCGTCTGATAAATGGAAGCACTTGTTTTACAATAACCCGCTGGTCCATCAATTTATCAAAGTCTTTATCACACACTCGCAACATGTCATTTTGGCAAGGAACAAGATACTGTTCTTAATTCAAATGTATTATCAATGCTCCCTTCATGAGGTCTCTCTCTTTTGTCCTTTACACAAGACAAACAAGCAGGCAATAAGTAGAGCAGTGTGACCCCGCCCCGATCAGAAAAAATGAGGGAGCAGTGTGTCTCGGTTTCTCTTCTGTCTCTAACACTAATGTCTAAAGCCACGCCCACCAACCCACCCCTGGACCTCCTCCACCATCTGTCCCCTCCCAGCGCTGCCCCAAGTTACTTTTACCGTGGTCACCATGTCACAGGCAACTCCAGGAAGCCATGTAGTGATTACCCTTAATGGGGTCAAGGTTCAGAGTTCAACGTGACCTTTCCACTACCAGCCACTCTGCCGAGGGCTATACTGAAACCCTGATATCAGGGTAATGATTATAGCACAGATTATAGCTATGGAATGACAAACATTCAGCTGTATCTGTACAGTAGCCATCCTAATTTATCTATCATCCAAGATGTAGAGAATCTCAACAGTTTTCTGAGATCTAGTGAGCTCTTCTCACACACTCCAAATAAAACCTATTATCATTATGAGTTCAGTTTTAGATAAGAACGTAGTAATGTCATGTAATTTATCAAATGAGGTATTTTGTTTTACTACAATGTAAAAACAATTTAAACTGAGCCATGTTGGTTTAAAAAGCTGACTCTTCCGAATGAAAATTAATCAGAATGGGTTAAAGTTAGCTCATATAAATATATGTAGGCTCAGAAACAAAGTTAATGAGATTTGTAATTTGCTAATCTTAGATAATATTAATATAATAGCAATTTCTGAGACTTACTTAGACAGCACCTTCAATGATACAGCAGTAGGAATATTAAGATATAACATCTACAGAAAAGACAGGAATGTCTACAGGGAAGGTGTTACTGTATATATTCAGAGTCATATTCCTGTAAATGTCAGAGAGGATCTCATGACAATGAAGTGGATGCCGTCTACCACAGCGCCCTTCACTTTATCACAGGTGATAGTTTTAATACTCACCACTGCATCCTGTATCAAAAGGTTGGCTGGTCCTCATTAAAGTCCCGTAGATCACTTCATTACTCCCTTTTTGTTTACAAAGCTTTACTACACAAGCTACCAACTTACATAACTTTGTTGCTAAAGTATAAAAGAATGAGCTACCAAACCCGCTCGCAGGGTTGGTTGACTCTTGAAGTCCCTCTGGTCTCCACCAATTTTGGTAAATCCTCCTTTAGTTTTAGTGCCCCCCATTGTTGGAATAACCTGCAAAATTACTTGCGTCTTGATTCTCTGGTGCCGCTAGGGCAGTTTAGGACCCTTTGTTGGCTCTAACAGTCGACCAATCAGTTTGCTGCCTGTTCTTAGTAAACTGATGGAGAAAATTGTGTTTGAACCAATACAATGCTATTTTTCAAAGAACAAGTTAACTTCTGACTTTCAGCATGCACTCAACTTGTACTGCACTGACTCAGATGACTGATGATTGACTAAAATACATGGATAATAAGATGATAGTTGGAGCTGTATTGTTAGATTTCAGTGTAGCCTTTGATGTTACTGATCATTATTTGTTATTGAAAAAACCCACTTGATATGGCTATATTTCACCTGCCATCAAATGGTTGGA